TGGTACGTAGCAAGCCTGACACACCATCTTTATGAACTTTGATCTTTTCATAGTTTTGTCTGTTCTCCTCTTCACTTCTATGTACAAATACATATGAAGAGAGAAAAAGAGAAAGTATGCACATAGTAAATCAAAAGAATAGAGAAAATACACTTTAATTTTATTTTACATGTATAACTGAAATTTTCGACCTTTTATGAGAACTGTCATCATCACCGCAGAAGACATCATCTGTGACCATGAGTTCAATTCATTCAAGTCTATTTACTTAGTTATTGATTATGTTCTTGCAGAACGAAATACAGTAAAATCTCTCTATTGTGAACACCATTGGGGCCGCTCAAAAGTGTTCACTATACGTAGGTGTTCACTTTAGCGAATTGGCGTATATTTTGTTAACAAACAAAAATGACCCAGAAATCAATTTCTACATTAGTCTTAGATAAAAGCCAGCTTGTTTATTCATTTTTTCATCTACTTTCATAGAAACCACCTGAATTAAAAGATGTTTCAATCACCATACAAAACTTTGTGTTTTTTTTTCAAAAATTCTTCTAATATTGTTTGTCGTTTTGCTTTTGAGTCAACATAAATATAAATTAATCTAAGTTCAATCTCATTAATCAATGAATATAATTGTAGTTATTATGTTGTTGCCAGTAAATGTAGTTTTCGTACTACTTCCATTGCTTCTGCTATTTTTTGTGATGATTCTGTGGAGTGTGGGAGGTCAGTGTGAGTGTAGATGTGGTTATAAGTTAAATCCCTACACCCACCCACCCTCACCCCCACACCCGCACTGTAGATTGTATCACTTTGAGAGTGTGACTGTGGCTGTGGACGTGGATGTGAAAATGGGTGTGAGTATGAGTGTGGGTGTAGATCCGTGAAAGGAAAACCCTTACCTACACCCACGCCCTTTGAGATGATACAAAAATTGATAACTTTCAATATGATTCATTTTTCAATTCGATAGATATTTCAGAAGATTCGACATTTCTTCGTATTTCTGAGAAACAAAGAAAATAGAAGAGCATACAATTTGTTCCTTTGAACTCCCATTTCAAAAATATTTACATTTCCAAACGAATATTTATAACAAACATTAGTTTATTGTTCATCAAATTCATACGAGAAAAAGCAGTTAAAAAAGTCTGGTGGATATTTGTGAACTGTTACTCAATGCTTTTTATTGGCTACGGAAGAATCAGAAAGATTTATGACATTCGCGGCAACTTAGATAAATCTTCATGTTTTTCTTGATAATTTCTCATAATCAAAAGACGTTGATACAAATGGAATCGAATTTCAGTGAAATCTCCTAGGATTTTTTCATAAGTCAATTTGATATGTATTGAAACATGCAAAGTAAGTCAAAAAATATTTTATTACACTGAAAGTTGAATTTTCTCAAGATTCAAGGACCAGTTTACGTAAATATCCATATCTTAAGTTCTGTTTAAGAACAAAACACCGATTAGACCTGATTACCACTAAAAAAATTCAGTATTATGACATCAGCATGCTGTCCTCTATAATTTATTTTTGTGAAACTGCTTGTGATATCTCAGGCAGTTGCATAAAGATTCAATAAAAGGGATTTTTTTATTGCTTTATGGCCACAGACTATGTCAATATTTACTATTTATATCTTAATAATGATATCAACTGTAAAAGACAATTAAAAAGTATCGATCCTCAATATTTGAAATAATCAGCATGTAAAATGCGATCGTAAAAAAGGCGAATAAAGTTTTCTATCTGCTTATTTTTGTTTTTTTTTGCCAACATAAAATACCTGTCAATTATATGCTATATACAAATACATTTCTAAATTGGTCTTCTGTGAATCACTTCAAAATTATCTGAAAATGCAAAAAAGGGTGTGGGTGTAGATATTCTGTTCCTACACACCCTAGGTAGATAGCATCTGTGCAAGGGAAACGAGAGGGCAAACCGACATCTATTGTGTTCTTTATTTCAATCCTTGTAGTCGCCTTTCATAATGATATAATTATATAACAAGAACTTCTAAGTTAATATTAATTATTTGACAGAAGGCTATATAATTGAAGCTGGTCATGAATAAAAGTATATTGATTTTTTTTTTCATAAATTATTTTGTCAAATTAGTTTAATAGGCATATTAGCCAATTCAAATCAAATAGAATTTTGTTCGAGATTGTTTTCAAACAAAACTCTCTATTAAAAATCAGTGTACTGTTATCGATCGGTATTAGCCTGCTATTTTTATGAATTTTAAGTGGAAAGCGTTTTTTTTTGTAAAATTTGAATAACGTCAAGTATAGCATGAATCTTTGTTATTAGCCATGAAAAGAATGCAATCGAATAGTCGTAATAGATGGATAAGATATTATTTGTGGACGCTTTCTTTTTTTGTTTTTTACTTTCTTTTGTGTTCAACATTAAAAGTTCATATGCGTCATTAACTCGTTTCTTGTTAACTTAATCAAAAGAAAATATAAATCTCTACGCATGTAATGTCATATCTTCATCATAATCACAGCAAAAGTAGCTTCTACACAGCCAATGATCGATTACCTTCTTCTTAATTTTTGTTTTCTTTCTCTCGATTATCCTCAGTTTTATGAAGTAGACTACAACAAATTATAAATTTCGAACTGTCGTTCGTTTAGTGTCGTATCATTAAGATGCAACAGAAAAAGAAAAACGAAATGAAGGCAATGTTAATAATACTCCACTTAGAATAAAAACTTTATCAACGGAACAAAAGTTATGATAAAGAAATAATCTTAAAGATTGCACGTTTCGGCAGCTATGATAGACATAAATTATTTACATCAAATCACACTAATTATGCTAAAGACCAAGAATACATGTGATAAATCTAAAACAACCTATTGAGCTTATTGATAGTTTTGGCGACATTTCGCTTTGGATAGGAGTGTCATTTTCCTGTTAACTTTTTAATATTTCATCCCAGTGAGACGTACAAGAGAAAAAAAACGCCTAAAAGCTCGCTGCAGTTTTAATGACAATAATCTCCTAAGAAATGAGCATGTAAATATGTTCATAACACAAGATTTTTGAGCTGTTAATTTTAAGAATCCTCCACGCATTTGTTTCTCGTATTCGTCGCACTGGAACGAAATATTAAAAAGAAGTAACAGGTGAATCAGATTAAATTGCCGATTCTTAAAAGGATTTTTTATCAAGTTGGACTCCCCTAAAAATTTTTTCTTCGATAACATTTTGGGTGTTACTGCGGGTTTGGTTATGAATCGAAAGAACACTCATACTAACACACCGACACCCTTGTTTTAGCAAAGAAATCCAATCAATTACAACAGTTTATATATATATACTGAAATGTTTTTTTTTTCTTTTTATTTGAACGAACTGTAGATACGATATTATAACTATCACGTTAAAAGACACATTAAAGAAATGAATATGAACTATGTATAAATTCATCGATGACTAAAGAACTATAGATAAACGAAGTGTTGCCAGTTGTTGCAATGTTTTTCTAAATTCATCGGAAATTTTATTTTGAGAAATATTCAGCTTTTCTAATGTTTTGTTAGTTTTTGCCACTAATAATAAAGCGTTAGCATGTTCATCTGTTATTTGATTTCCTTCCAAATCTAATTGTGTCAACGTCGAATGTGATTTCAATAGATCACATATTGTTTCGACATTACTAATTTGACAATGCCACATATGTAAATCGATTAATGTCTTGTTACTCATTAAACTGTTATAAAGTATCTTAATTCCTTGATCTCTAATTGGATTACCGCCCACATCTAACTGTGTAAGTGTTTGATTTTTTTCTAACAAGTTAGCTAAATAGAGACAACCGTCTTGATCAATTTTATTACAACATAAATTCAAATGATGCAATTGTATATCACCACATAACAAATATTTTACTCCCAAATTACCAAGTGAATTAACACCTAAATGTAGAGAACGTAAGTGATGATTTTTTGACAACATTTCAGCTAGATATTGACCAGCGTCACAAGACAATTTTGTATTGTACAAATTCAATGTTAACAAATGTTTATTATTATGCAATGTTTGAGCGATTAGCAAACAACCAGTATTACCAAATGGATTATAACTTAAATTAAGTTCAATAAGAGTGACATTCTTTCGTAATATTGCAGCAACTATTTTTAATTTTTCGTTTGTTAAATTTGTTTTAGACAAATTAAGAATTGTTATTTCTTGTGTTAATCGTTCATTTAGAGTATGCATTAAATCGTCTATAGACAATTTCTTACCAGATAATTCAAGGATATGATCGGAACATACCTGTAATACTTGTGACATTTGTATTATTCGATGTGCAGTATTCTTGAAACTTTTTCGTGGTTTCATTGATGCTTTTCGTCGTTGTTTTGTTTTAACTGCTAATGATAATAGTTCTTCAGATGCTTCTACTGTCGTAGCAATTGGTACAGGTGATATGATTTCAGTTGAGGATGGTGGTACTTCTCGAACATAAATTGTGTTTAGATCGTCTAGTGAACGTAATTTTCCAACAACTTGAAAATGAAATCCTGGCATTAATATAACTTCGTCATCTTCCGAAAATGGAAGTCGTTTTCCACTATAACAATCAAGTTTAAACAACGTACGTACGCCTTGTTTACCTAAAAATGTGGGTAATTTCATTTGATCAAGCGATTGTAAACATGAACCGAAAGTCCACCATGTATATATACCGTCATCCTTATACTCATTGGATAAGTCACATGAGCGTACACCACGATAGACTGTACAATGTTGTCCTATCGATGGCAATTTACAAAGAGCTCTTAATAGTAAGTTTAAATATGGATACCATAGTTGAAGTTCTTCGGGAAATCCACGACGAATTGTTTCATTAAGAAGATAAGAAATGCATTTTGTAGGTGATGACCCTTCCGAAATATATAGATGAATAGCTCCTAATTCATCTAGTGTTAGATCATTAGTATCATCGACAGTCAATTGTTGTTTAATAATATAGACTTTTGTTGCAATATCATCAATTAAATGGACTAACGGTTTAATAGCTTCTTCTATAAGTAACAACGGTGAATTCAGAATAATAGAAAAAAATTGTTTGTCATCATTTGCAGCATAAGGAATATCAAAATAACGTAAATTATCTGTATCTTCATCGTTTTCATTATCAAACAATGTGTTTGCTGTTGCCATTTTTCTGTTTAAAAAAAAAACAAAATAATTGTAAAAATAAGAAATATAACATAGCAGGCTTAAAAAATATGACTATCATCGTTAGGGAAAAAGAAACAGATTTCTCGATCGACATTGTTATATAAATAAGTCCACAATTATTACAGAAGTAATACATCATGCAACATTGTTTTTATTTGTACCATATTATATCACACATCTAAATTTATATTATAATGAACACAAGTTATTCTTGTGTAAAGCAAGCGGCAAGGAATTTGTTTAAAAGCAAAATAATTACAGTTACACGTTTAATTATGATCACGACATTTATCATGTAGTTTTGCGTACAATTATATCTGATAAGAAATTCTTTATATTTGCGTTTATTCAATTTAGTTTTGTACTAATAAATGCTTTTAATAATGCAGTATTTAGCGAAAAAGTCTGTTGGCTGATGCTGACAGTGTATTTTGCTTGAAAGAAGTCGCATTATCTTATAAGATTGAAAAGATAATTAGTTTTACAGTGAAAATTTAGTATTTTTGTTGTTTCTTATGATTTTTAGACGCAATGGTACTCTAGAAAAGTTCAGAAGTAGATTGATAATTATCGATTCTAGCATTTTATTTGCTTGTTGAATGATAACGACACTTAATAATAAATTTAGGCTGAAATACTGACCAGTCGTACCTCATACAAATTTAATTTCAACTTCTCATTTATGTCTACTAAACTATCACCACCAAAAGTTTAAGACGATGATGATCTTTCTCCTTTACAAAGAAGATCTGAAATAAGACGACATGATACTTATTCTTCTCGAACACGACATGCAAGAAATGATAATGATCCAACACGTCAAGATAGACATTCACCTTCTCAATCGGCTAAATCAGAACGACAATGTTGAGCTGAATGATATGCACAATGGAGTCGTAGTTTAGCTCAAGTTCGACAATCAGAAGATCCTGTCAAAGATTATTTAAAACATGCTGAAAAAACATTGGTACACTATTGAAATGATAAAGATCTTGATACTATGCTTAAAAAAAAAGAACGTGAAGATAAAATGACAAGTTAAAATTTTAAAATTTCACATTTAGATTATTAGACTTGTCTATCAATGTCTATTTTTTTTCACATATTTATAGGATGTCTTTTTTTTCTAACTTAGATGATCCAATGCTCGAATATCTTATCAATAAAACATGGCTAGTATTTATTTGAGCAATAAAAATATTAGAATGAGCAATAAGAAAACTATCTTTGAGCAATTTTATAATAATAAATGTGAAATAATTAATTCATTAAATAGCAGTAGTAATTTCATATTTTACCAACAAGAAAAAAGAAAAGTAAGATATTTTTATTTACAATTGACAATAAACAAAAAGAAAAATGAATATATTATTGTGTCAACAAAGCTGTTTTTGCTTCAGCTGATCTTCCTTCTTTTCTTTTAGTATCAATGTCCACATCTCTTGCCTTTGATGAGGATTTGCACCCTCACCCTCACCCTGTTATCAAGAGACTAGTTTCATATCATTTTCACTTTCACTATCAGAAATATACTGCGTTATGAGTTGTGATTAAGCCATTTACATAAATTATATATTTTATTTTATAAGATAGAAAAAATACGGTTTGTATAAATTCTTAACATAAGAATTTTCTCATCTACTGTATTGGAATTGTCTTATTGATCATCTTGAAAATTTCCTTATGATTATCTTACACTATATAAGGAATTTTTCTAACACTTTTGATATTTATGTAATATATATCAATGTTCTCTTCTATGGGATATCAGATATTAAATTCTATTGTCTTCTCAATCTCATTGTTTTTTTTCTACTTTTTTTCTGCTATACCACGTTTCAAGTGTGTACGAAATAAATCGAACTCACGTAGATGCATAACAGTATAAACCATACAATTTTCATAAATGAATTCGTATTGCCCTTTTTATGTGAAATTTATCTTTAATTTAAATAAACTATTGCTCATTCACTATAATTATTGCTGATTCAATATAATTATTGGTCATTCAATATAATTATTACTCATTCAATATAATTACTGCTCATTCAATATAATTATTGCTGAATCTAATTATTGCTCATTTCAATTATTTTATTGCTCAATTAAATGTAAGTCATAAAACATCTCTATGTTGACGGTCGACCAAAACATGCTAATAATATAATATGTATTTAGATTCAACATATGGCCTGGTTATTGATGGGATGGTGTCGATTGATCAAATGGCTATGAAAAGGATTTTTTTATATCGATTGCTAATCAATATGTTCAAGTTCAAACAGCTTATCTATGGAATATTAAAGACATATAGATTATATGGTTAAAGTTATTTTTTGTATTGAAATAAAATAGAGAATTTGGAACTATTGGTTTAAAGTCTTTTCAAATTAAATGAGTTGAGATTCTTCTTTCTCTCCAAAAATCGATTTGGTCGCCTCAAAGTTTTAAAATGCTGCTGCGAGAAGAAAAATCTGGATAAAACACTGATTTAATAGGAAGATCTCATCTTCTAAAAACCAATACTACCTTCATTAAGTGATTTTTTTAAACAGATATATCATTAGCTGAAACAGCTCAAACTAAAGTAGCTTCATTTGCTCGTCCAGCTATTTTGACATAAGTTTTTCCACTTACTGAACAATAACTTAATGCATTTCATTAACCGATACACTTCTACCTCCACTAATCAGAAATTCAAATTCTGAAACATCACTACATCTTCAATGTGTTATTAATGAACCCACATCACTTGTACTATCCTAATACAATACCTATTATACAACAAAAAGAAATTTATCAAGTCGTGAACGTTTAAATGATGATTAAGACGAAATGAATTTATCAAAAAGAAAAAAAAAGTATAATTGCCAATCTGTTGTTATTATTTTTCTTGTTCTATAAATTGTTAAATATAATTAAAGAAATGTCAATTTTTGTCGCAGATTTAATTTTCTTTTTATTTTAATATAAAAAAAAATGAGTAGTAGAAATAAACTTCCAAAGGTAGCTGATGCTAATCGAGAAGATCGATATGGTTATGTATTTGGTGTTTCAGGTCCTAGTATGAAGAAAAAAATCTCTTTATTTCGATAAATAATGAATTAATTAGATTCATAATAGTTGTATGAAAAAAAAAACAAAGCTATATTTGTTTGGAAATGATTTAGCAACAATCCAAGTTTATAATGAAATATGTAATCCATTAGTAACCAATTAACGTATATTATATTCTTTATTTCCGTATATATTTAATTCTTTTTATTCTCAAAACGAATTCTCTGTATATTTAAATGTGTACAAGGCGGTAAAACAGCTATTCCATGTGCTTTTGGTTGTAGAAAAACTGTTATTTCTCAATCACTATCGAAATTTTTGAACAATGATGCGTTTGTTTATGATGGTTATACCCATGGAGTAAAAAATTGAAGGAAACGGACTGCGTAACGCGTTTCCGAGATTGTAGCATGCGTTTCGCAACGTTTTTTCAATATAGGACGCGTTTCACAGCATTCTTACTTACATAAAATGCGTTTTGCCACAGTCGTTTTTTGAAACGATCCGAAACGCTTTTTTCAAGATTGCGTTTCGAGGCGTTTCCGAATTAAAATGCTGTCGAACGCACTTTGGTCGACAGGCGACGCGTTCCACAGATACAAATTGGGGGAAACGTAAAGCGCGTTTCTTTTTCAAATGTGTGTTGCATTGTTTTTGCTTGGAATGATGCAAAATATATCCATTCTGCATACAGAACCTTGCAGAAATTCACCAACACAAAGCATAGGAGTTAAGCAACGTAAATTCTTTAAAATTACTTTGGAAATGATATGAAATAGTACTTGAAAGTTTTGCTCCTTGCACTATTTTTACGTGAAAATCATGACCCAGGATTTTATGAAGGCAAGACTAAAATCAAAGTCTTGGAAATTTTTAGGCTGCTAGGCTGTTATCTAGACCTAATTCGAAGTTAGACTAATGTAAAACATCAAAGTGTAACAAAAAATATATTCTTCTTACTTAAAAACTCATTTCACCACGTTTTTATTGAAAGAAAACGTGTTTCGTAAGGTTTACTTAAGAATTGTTTTCGACTTGTCCACGGAGGGAGATGATTCCGCCACGCTCGTTTCTAATGAATGACAAGTTACAGATAAATTTGCAGTGTCTCATTTTGACAAGCACAATTTTTTGTCTAAGATTGCAAATGCATTGGATTCTAGAGATCGAGTCATTTGTTTGAAATAAAACAAATAAAGCGTGACGGAATCACGTTTTACGTGGACAGGTCATTTTAAATATTGAGCATTTCGAAAAGATTTAGTAAAGGCTGATACTAATATAATTGGTATAGCAACTCTCTTTGGTTATTTGTGAACAAAAGAATTATTGCGTTATCTATAATTTGAATAATTATTAGTTTGAGTTCATACTCGAACTAATTGATAATAACTAATGATACTGTGTACAATACTAGTAAACATGATTTTAGTTTGTACATTGTTGAAGTAAGAGTGACTTTTTAATAAAAGAGATTCGATTTACAAAAGAAAACTCCTTTCATTTATTGATGTAATTGGATAAAACGATGACGGATTTACATTTACAAAAATCTATTAATCAAGAAAATAAATAAAAGATTAAATTTTAATTTTTTTAAAACTTATATATAAGAAATTTAATTTTTTATATGTTAAATACAGTGTAAATCGATTAAATTCGTTTCTATTGTGTATCTAAATTTAAATCTGAAAGAGTTTCAATAAAAAATGTATCAAGAAAAGACCACACTCGTAATTGGATATAGGCACCAAAGAAATGATAATTTTTAATTCAGTGGAATGGAAACTGAAAATCTAATTTAGTAAGTTTACGCGGAACTCTAAATGACAGTAGAATAAACACTTATATCATTAGATTATTTTAGTTGAACGGTTTGTATACATGTCTTATTTTCCTATGTTCTCGTGTTCGAATCCGTG